TTTTTTTAGTCACATGACCTATGAAAAAAGCACCCTAAACGTGGTAAAATCACAGTAAAATCGCACATATTTGGAGGCCATTATTGCCACCTTTTTTCCTAACGGCAACATGCCGATAACACTATTTTTGGCTGATACATTTTGACCGCCGATATTTCGGTGCATCCCTATTGGTTACCATGCACAGCTACACCAGATTCTGAGTGCACCAGTTTTAGTAAATCCCCCCCCCCCCATTGTATCTATTCCTCTGCCCTGGAGGAGATGTGTATGTGCATGTGATCTGCACAAAAAAAAAGTGTTGAATTAAAAAAGAAAGTTCAGTGCTTGACTTAGTTTAGTGAGTGTAGGTGGCAGTGTTAGTGGCAGTGTGTCAGTGTAAGTGTCAGTTTCAGTTAGTGTCTTTTCACATTTATTGTCAGTGCAAGTGCTAGTGTCAGTGTGTTTAGATAGGACAAGAAAAAAAAAGCACTGTTTCCTGGCCCCATTATGTGGACAAAGAACAAATAATAAACACATATGTGGAATCACCAGAATTGTCAGCAGTAGGAGAATTTATGTTGCAGAATTTTTTTTGGTTGTCATGGTAATGGCATAAAAATATAAGGCTACATTTTTTTTAAAAGTGATTTTTTTTTTACTATATTGGGCCAGTTTTCCGTTCGTAATAGAAAAAAAAAATCAGGAGGAATCCATTACCATTTACTGACACACTGGATACACCTAAAGTGTTACTAAACCCAGGACCCAGCATTCACTATATCTGGTCTCCCACAGTACACACAACATGGAAGTGCAATTATTTTAGTAAATGTAAACTGCTAAATACCTTTTCTCATCAGTCTTGTGACTTCAGCAGAGCACTGGTTAAAGCTTGTAGGAGGAGTGGTCATATTCACCAAGTATTTTACTATATAGAATCCTGGATATTGATTCATTCTGTGTTTGGCCACTCACATGATGAATACATCCCCTGTTGGTCGGTGGTATTTTCCTGCCATTTTTTGACATTGATACAAATGCATTTCTCCTATGTGGCTATAAAATCGTACATTGTGCTCAACGACGTGGATCCAGAAGAAGCCGTTATCTTGGGTGAAACGCGTTGGTCCTTATTGTCTTCGTTTCATTCAGTAACAAGCATATGTATTCATTCTTTGTAGACATAGCTGCTTTCATGTTTTTAGTCAGTCGATTATATCCAAAACATTTTTTAATCTGATACAAATAATAAATACGTTTTTTGATTACGTGCACCATTTAAATCCCCATTTTTCCATGATACCCTCCTCCCTCATTAGGGGAGCAGAGAAAGTCATGGACATCTATGGTCTCTACTTACTGTGTTTTGGGGATGGTGCCAAAAGAAAGTCCTCCACTCCTTTTTTCTCTTTTCAGTTTTTGTTGTATCCAGTTGTTTGTACTCAACTTATAACATTCAAGTGAAAGATATAACACCAATGTGTGTGTAAAAATGACCACACAATGGTTGAAGGAGAAAAAAGTGAATGTCCTTGCATGGTCTAGTCAGAGCCCAGACTTAAAGTGTTATTAAACCCACAACAGTAAAATCACTCTGTATATGCAGTAAAGCATGCTTGTTATACTCACTGTAGAACCTAAGGGGTTAATTCTCTGCATTGTGTAAAAAGGCTGTTTGATCCTGACTACTCTGTTCCTCCCCTTTTTCAAGCAACCACCTCTTATCTCCTGATAAGACAGACTGAACTGTAGGCATTTGCACATTCTCAGTTTGGTGTGTATTGTGAGAGGTTTTTTTTTTTCTTGGGAGAGTGCATGTGATCAGCACAGGGCCAATCGGCACTGTCCAGACAGAGGTCAGGGGTTTTGTATCCTCATAGAGCAGAAAGAAAACTCCTACAAGCTAGCTAGTGCTCTGCTGAACACTGATAGAAGTCACAAGACTGCTCTAACTACTGATGAGAAAAGGTATTTAGCAGTTTATATTTACTAAAGATAATTGCATTTCCATGTAGTGTGTACTTTGGGAGATCAGATATAGGGAATGCAGGGTCCTGGGTTTAGTAGCACTTTAAACCCCATTGAAACTCTGTGAAATTACTTGAAGACTGCAGTCCACAAAACGGGCACCATCAAATTTAACTGAACTTGAGCAGTACTGCAAAGACGAGCGGGCAAATATTGTAAAGTCGAGATGTGCAAAGTTAGTAGAGACATATCCTAACAGACTAAAGGCTGTAATTAAAGAAAAATGTGGTTCCACAAAATGCTGACTCAAGGGGGTTAACTTTTTCCAACTCAGTGATTCTGCGTTTGATGTTTTAATTTTTTTCTGACATGTTGGTGTTATATCTTTCACTTGGATGCTATAAGTTGCACTGAGTAAATACAGCTGGATAAAACAAAAACTGTGTCTGTCTTCATTTTAGGGTGTCTTCATTTCAGGGTGCAAAGCGACAAAATGTGATTTTAAAGCAGGGGTGATTCTTTTCTATACCCACTGTGTATGTATATACACTATATTGCCAAAAGTATTGGGACGCCTGCCTTTACACACACGAGAACTTTAATGGCATCCCAGTCTTTGTCCATAGTGTTCAATATTGAGTTGGCCCACCCTTTGCAGCTATAATAGCTTCAAGTCTTCTGGGAAGGCTGTCCACAAGGTTTAGGAGTGTGTCTATGGGAATGTTTGACTATTCTTCCAGAAGCGCATTTGTGAGGTCAGACACTGATGTCGAATGGCTCGCAGTCTCCGTTCTAATTCATTGCAAAGGTGTTCTATCAGGTTGAGGTCAGGATTCTGTGCAGGCCAGTCATGTTCCTCCACCCCAAATTCACTCATCCATGTCTTCATGGACCTTGCTTTGTGCACTGGTGTGCAATCATGTTGGAACAGGAGGAGACCATCCCCAAATTGTTCCCACAAAGTTGGGAGCATAAAATTGTCCAAAATGTCTTGGTATGCTGACACCTTAAGAGTTCCCTTTACTGGAACTAAGGGACCCTGGAATATTTAGTAGCAAGGAAATTTCATGGATGGACTTATTGCACAGGTGGCAACATATCACGGTACCACACTTGAATTCACTGAGCTCCTGAGAGCGACCCATTCTTTCACAAATGTTTGTAGAAGCAGTCTGCATGCCTAGGTGCTTGATTTTATACACCTGTGGCCATGGAGGTGATTGGAACACCTGAATCCAATGATTTGGAGGGGTATCCCAATACTTTTAGAAATATAGTGTGTGTGTATATGTGTGTGTGTATATATATATATATATATATATATATATATATATATATATATATTTTTTTTTTTTTTTTTTTTATTTATTGAAACTAATATTTATTACAGGTTTTGTTATAAATTTATTTATAAAGTGTTGTCAATTTATGCAGTGTTTTACATATATATTGTATATTCAGATCAGTCCTTAAATAAATAATATATATATATATATATATCACAACCACAGCACCACCTGCCTGGAGTTTGCATGTTCTCCCTGTGCCTGCGTGGGTTTCCTCCGGGTACTCCGGTTTCCTTCCACACTCCAAAGACATGCAGGTAGGTTAATTGGATCCTGTCTAAATTGTCCCTAGTATGTGTATGGATGAGTGTGAGTTAGGGACCTTAGATTGAGGGTTAGGGACTGATGTGAATGTACAATATATATGTAAAGTGCTGCGGGAATTGATGGCGCTATATAAGTACCTGAAATAAATAAATATATATGTGTTTGTGTGTATGCATTTACTGGATTTGAGTACTGATCAGGGGCGGACTGACCATTTGGAAACTCGGGCACTGCCCGAGGGCCCGGGGTCAGTAGGGGGCCCCATGAGATGCCCCTGGTACCTTTTTCATAGGCATTTTTGAGTTTGGGCAAGAACACAGGGGCCCCATGATCCCCTATTGCCCGGGGGCCCCATGAGTTGTCAGTCCGCCCCTGGTGCTGATACGTGGATAGATGTATTTCTAATTATTATTCAGGATTTAGGTAGCCCCAACAGTTTGCATGGTGCTGTACAATATATAGGGAGACTGTATAGAAACAATACAATGCCAGATGATTAGGAGGGCCCTGTTCTGGAGAGCTTACAATCTAATAGACTGGAGCTAAATGTTGCTCTGTGTATATACATGTATATATGTGTGTGTACAGTATCTATATAGATGACTGTATTGAGCAGAGTGTGTGTGTGTGCAGCCCGGTGAGTGTCAGCCTACATTGGCCGGGATGTCCCCTCTGTAGTGTCTGCCTGGCTCCTCCATCCTCTCCTCCCGCTCTCTCTCTCCAGCCTCCAGCACCTCATCAGCACTTTTTTTTTCCATGTGAAGCGGAGAGGGAGCCGGAAAGTCCTTATAAGGATCAGGAAGGAACCCCGCCGGAAGAGCGCCTTACATGGTCATCACCTTACATGGACTGACCGGCCGGGGTTTCCGGAAGGTGGTGGGGGAGGCGGGGAGGAGGTGGTGCCCAGGTCACCAGCGTTGGGGGGTTCCTGTGCCGGGTGAGCGGGAGGCCTAGGCCGGTACCCCTGTATCCCATGCCGTCTCCCTATGCAGGGCTCTCCCTGGCCGGGGGTTGCCTGTGTCCGCCCGCCGTTCCATAGGAATAGACGGAGTTCCATCCTCAGTCTTCCCCCTTCCGAGTCCGACGTCACGGATCCTCCAGCAGCCTCCAAATAAGGGCTTCCTGCACTCCATATATGGCCATGTACGTCACGGGGTGGGCGGGCACAGGCGGCTACGAACCCTTTATATAGGAGCGGATCCCAGGGAGCCGCGAGAGATTCCAGCAGGCAGGACTGGGGGAGCCGTGCGGGGGCAGCGATTGCAGAACCGGCGACAACCCCAGCAGCAGCCACTTACCTACCCATCCATCCAAGCAGCCAGCCACTTACCTACCCAAGCACATTTGGTTTATTATCACAACACACAGTGCACCCGTCCTCCCCCCAGTGTGCATGCACAAGCAGCCTCTTCTCCACTAGGGATCCCGGAGGACCTGATGGCAGCTGCCAAGGCAGAGATGCTCATCTCACCTCTGCAGATCTCTGACCCTTTCGGTTCTTTCCCACATTCCCCCACCATGGATAACTACCCCAAACTGGAAGAGATGATGCTGCTCAACTCGGGGGGATCCCAGTTCCTGGGCGCCTCCGTCCCCGAGGGCAGCGGATTTAACTCCCCGGGGGAGGGAGCTGACAACTTCGATCACCTGGCAGCAGGTAAGGATCGCAGCCCCATACATGTCATTGTATGCCATGGATCGTTCAGTGTCTGCATGTGCTGATCAGATGTTGTGCCTGTGATCGTGTATTGATGTGTCTAGGGATGCATCCATGTCAGTGCAACGTTGTATTCTGGGATGTGCACACCGATGGTGTCCTGAATACTAAAACACTGTGGTGGCAGGGAATTCTGTTTGCGTCAGATCATGCAGAATCCTAGCTCTGGGGGGGCTTGTGGTGCTGTGTGACAGTAGCAGGGTAATGTTGATGATGAGGATGATGTTCTCCACACATAGGCATTGACAGCTTGTTGTTGTGATTGCTGCATCTTGTGTCCAGCATGTAACCGGTGCTCTGTTTGTTTCAGATGCCTTCTCAGAAATGTCACTGAACAGTGACAAGACGGTGATCGAGACCACCTATGCCAACCATACCAACAGACTGCCATCCCTGACCTACACCGGTCGATTCTCCTTGGAGCCTGCTCCCAACAGCAGCAACACTCTGTGGCCAGAACCTCTCTTCAGCCTGGTCAGTGGACTGGTGGGGATGGCCAATCCACCCACCACCTCAACTCCTTCATCTTCTCCTTCTTCATCTTCTTCATCCTCCCACAGCCCTCCATTGAGCTGCTCTGTACAGTCAAGTGACAGCAGCCCCATCTACTCTGCAGCACCTACCTTTCCTAACTCCAGCCCAGAGCTCTTCTCTGATCAATCAGCACAGTCGTTTCCCAACGTTTCAACTTCTTCAATTCAATATCCACCCCCTGCCTACCCTGTGACCAAGACCAGTTTCCAGGTGCCAATGATCCCAGACTACCTGTTTCCACAGCAACAGGGAGATGTCAGTCTGGTGACTCCTGATCAGAAACCCTTCCAGGCTATAGAAACCAGAGCCCACCAGCCTTCCCTCACACCCTTGTCCACCATTAAGGCCTTTGCTACACAGACTGTTTCCCAAGACCTCAAGACTATCAATAACAGTTATCAATCTCAGCTCATCAAGCCAAGCAGAATGAGGAAATACCCCAACCGCCCAAGTAAGACCCCACCGCACGAGAGACCTTATGCTTGCCCCGTTGAGTCTTGTGATAGGAGGTTCTCCAGGTCTGATGAACTGACAAGGCACATTCGAATCCACACTGGGCAGAAGCCCTTTCAGTGCCGCATCTGTATGAGGAATTTCAGCAGGAGTGACCACTTGACAACTCATATTCGCACACACACAGGGGAAAAGCCATTTGCTTGTGACATTTGTGGTAGAAAGTTTGCCAGAAGTGATGAGAGAAAAAGGCACACTAAAATTCACTTGAGGCAAAAGGACAAAAAGAACGATAAGGCAACTCCTGTCTCTGTTGCATCTCCCATCTCTTCCTACTCCCCATCAGCCTCAACATCTTACCCATCTCCAGTGCCAACATCCTATTCTTCTCCTGTATCTTCTTCCTACCCCTCACCAGTCCACAGCTCTTTCCCATCTCCTTCAGCGGCCGTTACATACCCCTCTGTTACCTCCACCTTCCAGGCCCAAGGTGTCACCAGCTTCTCATCTTCAGTGGTCACCAACTCCTTCAGTTCACCAGTGTCCTCTGCACTTTCCGATATGTCCATAACATATTCTCCAAGGACAATTGAGATCTGTTGAGTTTACCGTGACAAGTGCAAAACATGAATAGGCACAAACTGAAGACTTCCAAAGCATGGTCACTGAGTGGGAGGTTAATGATGACTGACTGTCTTGAACACAAAAAAAGAAAGGCCATTATAAACTAATAAGCTTCAAATGCCTAAGAAACTGCCATTTTAATTTCCCATTCTTTTCAAGAGACTTAATTTGCATGAATAATTGAAATAATTTCAACATGATCCTTTTAAAGATCAACTTTTATTTGCATAAAGGGATTTTTACTATATACATAATGTATATTGTACACGTGCAAGGTTTTTGTTTACTTTTTTATGCTTTTTTTTTTTGTTTTGTTTTGGTTTTTTTTGGTACTCTTGTTGTGAATTTTTTTCCCCCCTTTGCATATTCATGTGGTATTATTTGAAATTGATAGGGATGCTGTTTGTAAATGGTATCTATCTTGTGAAAATGCTACCATGACTTTTCAACTTATTTGAGGATCAGCACTTATGTATTCGAGCATGTGGAAGAGTAATGTTTTGTTCCTCCTTTTTTTTTTTACGTTACTTTGTTTTTGTTTTGTAAATATCATCAGATGGTACTCACATATGTCAAAAAAAGACGTTTTGTTATCTAGTAACTTGGTGCCTTTTTTGTGAAGCCTTGCTGATGTCTTGGCACGTGCATTTGCGTGTATTGATGCATTGCATCTAGCCTTAAGGTGTAAGGGAATTCTATAAAGAATGTATCAAAGACCTGTCAAAGGTACAGAGAGGGAACTGAAGCACAGCTTCATTTATGTAGAATGTAAGCAAAAACTCAAAAGTCTATTTTTGTAATTGAAATGTAAATTTATATATATATATAAATATATATATTCAAGAGATGGAATGTTGTAGTTACCTACTGAGTAGGCATGGATTTTTTTGTATGTTATAAACATGCAGTTCATTATTTTGTGTTTTTTATTTTTACTTATATTTGTGTTTGTTTTAAACAAAGTGACTGTTTGGCTTAAAACACATTGAATGCGCTTTACTGCCAATGGATATTTGGTGTACAACATATCCTTGAGAAAAAAATAAAATACCTAAAATATTTTATTTCTTCTAGTCAATGAGTTTTCTTGTTGGGCTGAACTTGACTTGGGCTTGGGAGTGTGTTCATGAAGGTGAATCTTTGTTCACACAGGTAGTTGGGTTGTTGCAATGAAAAGAACATTCTCTAACCCTTCTTGCTGTCTGAACTGAACCCTTATATAAAAAAAATACCCTATACCTTCAATTAAGGTGTACACTGTCTTAAGTGAGGTGGGTGAGATGTACACTGACAGCAGACAACTTATTCAACTCTTCTCCTGTAGGAAGCAAGATTAGTTCATTTAGCTTTTATGAGTAAGGTGAAGTTGTGTTCACTTTAATCACCCAATCATGCACTATCCTTTCTTTTGTTTGCCTTGCATATGATTGGGAATGCTGAGTGACAATAGCTTCACCATATTTATTAAGCTAAGTGAATGCTTTATACTCCTTTAGTAATTCAAACACATCCTTTCTTTTGTTTGCTTTGCATATGATTGGGAATGCTGAATGACAACAGCTTCACCTTATTTACTAAGCTAAGTGAATGCTTTATATTCCTTTAGTAATTCAAACCCATTGTGTCCAATGGCTCCATACACAAGGTATTACTATATACTGGTTTTAATTCAAGCTGGACATAGACATTACAATCTGATTACACAATATCCTTTAGGGTCACCATACACACTACACTTTGATGTAATATGGGAACCTGCCTAATCTATTCAGTCATTCTGTATCCATTCAGGCAGGGTACTACATCCTTGTTGGTAGATCTAAACGATTGCACAGTCATATTGTATAGTGTATGTAAAATCTCAATCTCCTTTTTAGATCTACCAAAACTCAGTAGTGTAAGGGTCTGCCTAAATGGAAAAAAAGGATTGGTTAGTATAGGTAGGTGGACATATTACATAGGTTTGGTAAATCTTAAGTTGATTTTAGATAGATTGTATTGTCAGATTGTAACATGCATGGTGCTCCTAAATGTACCAAAACAATGTAGTGTGAGGGCCAGGGGCGGACTGACAACTCATGGGGCCCCTGGGCAATAGAGGATCATGAGGCCCCTGTGTCCTTGCCCAAACTCAAAAAAGCCTATGAAAAAGGTACCAGGGGCATCTCATGGGGCCCCCTACTGACCCTGGGCCCTTGGGCAGTGCCCGAGTTTCCAAATGGTCAGTCTGCCCCTGGTGAGAGCCTGCCTGGACAATTAATTACATTTGAATACATGCAGACAGGTCCTTGTACTACATAGTACAGTCAGATTATAACCTATACAGTCAGATTTAGACCTCTGCTTGGCCTTCTGCATGTTGGCTTTGCAACCATCACTTTACTTCTAGGATGGTGTTGTTAGACCTATGCCCCACCTGGAATAGCTAGTTATCTCTTTTCATCTGGATCATTGCCTGCATAGGTGGCCCTAATGACAGCTACGCTACTTCTAGCATAGTGCTCAGATCATTAGACAATGCAAGTCCCATTACAACATAGAAATAACGGAAATTAGGACCTAATGCAGAGACTAGAAACATGCACCTCTCTTCCTCTTTGGCATGAGAGAATCTAATCGGTTGCTATGGGCAGCAAAGATGCTCAATCTTTGGGATACTTCTTGATATACAGTATTTCATTAATTTAGGCTATTATATTTATATGCCGAATGTATAGTTGGTTATCCAGTGTAACATAGACATATAGGGGTTTATTTACTAAAGCTGGAGAGTGCAACATCAGGCTCACTTCTGCATAGAAACCAATCAGCTTCTAACCTCAGCTTGTTCAGTTAAGCTTTGACAATAAAACCTGGAAGCTAATTGGTTTCTATGCAGAAGAGAGCCTGATTTTGCACTCCCCAACCTTAGTGGTTCAAAAGGCAGAAGGGTTTTTTTTACTTTAATGCATTCTATGCATTCAGGTAAAAAAAATCTTCTGGGTGCTGCCCTCCCTTACACTTACCTGAGCCCCATCTTGATCCAGCAATGTGCATTTGAGCAGCGACTATCCCAGGTCTCTCTCTCCTCATTGGCTCTGCTGCTGTCAATCACAGCCAGTGAGCCAATGAGGATGAGAGCAGGGGCAGGGCCAAGTCATGCTCTGTGTGTGAATGGACAATGTCCATTCACAGAAGTGTGGCTTGGGAGTGAGCCTGCTCGAGTGCCCCCATAGCAAGAGGCTTTCTGTTGGGGCACTCAGCAGGGGGGAGGAGCCAGGACTGCCAGTGGGGGACCCAAAAAAAAAGGATCAGGCTGCTCTGTGCAAAACCATTGCACAGAGCAGGAAAGTATGACTTTTTTTTTTGTTTATCCTTTTTGTATTTTTTTTTACTATCTTTTAGAATCACTTTAAAGTGGTGCTAAAGGCTCAAGGTTTTTTTTTTACCGTCATGTATTCTATTCATGAAGGTGATAAACCCTCTGTGTGCAGTGGTACCACCCCATCCCCTTATCTGAGCCCCCTCTGATCCAGACGTTATCCAGCGACGTTCTCAACAGCCTGTCCTGTCTGGGGACTCTTCCCCCTCATTGGCTGAGACAGCAGGGGAGCACATTGGCTCAATGCAGCCAGTGAGCCAATGAGGAGAGGGGGGCACAAGGCCAAGCTGCTGCTCTATGTGTCTTATGGACACATAGAGCATCGGTGCCCCCAGGGGGCACTTTTCCTTGGGGCACTGCTTGAGGGGGAGGAGCCAGGAGAGCCAGCAGTGACCTGAAATGATGAGGATCGGGGCTGCTCGGTGCAAAACCACTGCGCAGAGCAGGTAAGTATAGGCATGTTTGTAAAAAACAGACAAACAAACAAACCACAAAGCTTAACTGTCACTTTAAGTCCTGTAAGATGATGGAGTCAACAAAATATACATGATAACATACAGAACGCCTACTTTGGGCAACCCATAGATTATACATGTTTCTTTCCTTCAACCATGGGTTGGGTGCATCAAGCGATTCTCTTTCTCTCATCAGGCCAGTCAGTGTTGATGAGGAAACCACTCCCGCAGCGCTATTGTATTCTGATAGCGGGGGAAGGGGGGGTTCCCTGCTGTCAGAATACAATGATCACTGCTGGTGGCTTTAGCATTTATGAAAAAAAAAAACCTGACAGGCTGGTTCTAGTTAAGTAGATTGATAAGTCGACTTCACTACAACCATTATGCCCATAGATGGATCCAAATTCGTCCTGTTCCTGTTGAACCATCCAAATTTCCATCCGTTTTTGGCCGGCCTTAGCCATAGAATTTCAGAATTTTCCAGCTTCTGTCAATTGTCGTTAAAGTCGATATCACTTATATTTTATCTGCTGTAGTTTCAATAGGAAAACATGGAAGGGAGGAAATTTTAATTCTTACCAAACCTGGAGATGCAATTGTCTCTTAGATGGATAATGGTATGGTTAACTTGAAGATGGAAGATAGCATATTTTATCAGTATTTGTTCAGGCAGTTGACAGAAAATGTCAGACTTCAAGCATTTCAAACCTTGGGTTTTTGGCTACCTGAGGTATCTTTAGACAAGAGCAGTACAACTAAATACAGGAATACATCCCCATATTATCTAGTTTTGTTAAATTTAAATGAGATTGTACAATCAGATTGTGATGTATATGGCCACTAGACATGTGCACGCTGGAAAGGTTTGTTTTGGATGCATTCGTTAATTGAAGAATTTGTTTCCTTATATCCATTATGTTGTACTGATTAGATTTTGGGATTCATTTCAAATCTTTGCCATTCATTTCATATTTTCATTACTCTGGGTGGATTCAAAAACATTTGCAGTTTTTTTTCATACGATTGCTATAAATTTGATATATGAACCGACTGGACACTACTGAATGGCGTCAGGTGCATCCAAATTAAGGAATGGAACGAAATTTGGATCCTTTCATTATCTGAATCCAAATTATAGAACAAATTTAAAAATGTAATTTCTTTCCCCATGGGCTTGAACTACTATCGCATCATGTGATGTCATCTGAATGAAACAAATGCATGTGTTAATTTCGTTACAACTTTTTTTTTCTGATTCATTGCCATTCATTTCTTTGTCCATTCAAAGATTCGGAAACATCCAAATCTCCAAAAATAAAAATTTCATCTGAAAAACTAATCAGAGATAAACGAATCGCCACCCATAGAATCACAATCATTTAAAGTGGTTGTACACCCTTACATACACCCAGTGAAGTGACTGCCTCAGGTGATACACAGAGATTAAACAAATCCTCTACATAAGTTGTACCTGTCTATCTGCAGTTTACTCTCCTCTACTTCTATTCGAGGTGCTGAATTTTCAGGTTGCATTCACACTCAAGTGATTTGTAGCCTGAAGCTTGAAGTTCGAAGGTCAAAAAAAAAAAATCAAATTTAAAAAATCAATTGTTTTCTATGGTGCCCATACACAATTGATCACGCCAACAGGCACCATAGAGAACAATTGAATTTTGAAGTTTCAGCATTTTTGGGGCTTCGAGCTTTAAGCTACAAAGTGCTCAAGTGTGAATGCAGCCTTGTCTGGGAGTTCAGAAAAAGGGGGCAGAGAGCTGAAGTTACACTCTGCAGAGCTCAGTGGGGAGAGCTCTGAGAGCTGATAGGAGGGAAGGGACACCCCCCCCCCTCACACAGCACACACAGTACACAGGAGCAGAGCTGAAGCTGTCAATCTGCTGAAGGTCCATCCCTGCCACCATTTTTCTCTTGGTGTCAGGAAAACTTGTCAGAAGTGATTCAGGCTGATAGCAAAGGAATGAGGCAGCAGATAGAAATGACACTTAGTGCTCCTAATTGTGACAAGTGCACACATTATAGAGGGATATGATTTGTTAATATTTCATGTTTGAGGTTTACAACTGCTTAAAAATGTATACAAGAACCCAATTATGAATGGTCTTCTTTAAAGATCACCACACACATTACAATCTGTTTGTACAGTTTCCTTTCGATCTACCAACAACTATGTAGTGTAGTGAAAGGGACTGTCTTGATTGGATAGAATTTTAATTGGATAGGGTAGGTAGGTCATCATATTACATAGTTGATCGTAGCGTTAGATTGTAATGTGTATGGTGACCCTTAGTCTGAATTTGCTATCTGTTATCTGGCTGACTTCAAATGCTGCACAGAAGCTGAGCGAACGAGGGTAAGATTTTCTAAAAAAAAACTAGGGGCTGTTAACGTAGCAAATTTTATGTTCACTTAGCTTAGTAAATAAGGTGAAGCTGTGTTCACTCAGAATACATATTCTTGTGCTATAAAAGTTTAAAAAATTTTTTTTTTTTTTAACAAAATTGGATGACTGATGGAAACACTGCTTCACCGTATTCACTAAAGTGAGGAATTTGCTTTGCAAAGTAAACAGTCTGTGCTCCTTTAGTAAATCCACCGTAGTCTGTAATGTCAGGCAGTTGAGTTGACAGCAACTGTCAAATGTCCTTTAAACTCTGACTGTCTCAGAAATGGACACTCCTTTATCTATATTGATACTCCTTTTATTTTAGTTTTTTTTTGTTTGTTTTTTTAACAAAGTGACTGGCTTGAAGAAGTCTTTCTTTAATTTGTATTAATGTGTTCTGTTCCCCAAGGCCCAAGGTGCATGTAGTACTTTGGGGTCAGTGCACTAAGAGACATATATTCCATGAATTTTTGAGTTAAAATAACTCATGTTGCATTTATCTTAAAAGTAATCAATTCAGTAAGCCTGGGTTCAAACTTGTGCGGTGCGGCATATCGCATGTGATTCACATAGGAACCTCATCGCATTCCTGTGCATGTCACACGCAAATTCTGTGCGGTGCGATTTGAGCCATACATTTTGTATGGCTCAAATCGCACCGCATCCACACCAAAAAGGTGCAGGACCCTTTTTTTTTGTCTGCACTAGAAACGGATCGCATGGGTATTCACACCCATGCGATCCAATTCTGTACATCGCACCGCGTTTTGCGAACAGATATCAGGGTGTTGTTAACTGAACAAACACACTCGCATTGGTTCACATAAACGGGGTGCGAATTGCAGGGGCGGACTGACAACTCATGGGGCCCCCCGGGCAATAGGGGATCATGGGGCCCCTGTGTCCTTGCCCAAACTCAAAAAAGCCTATGAAAAAGGTACCAGGGGCATCTCATGGGGCCCCCTACTGACCCCGGGCCCTCGGGCAGTGCCCGAGTTTCCAAATGGTCAGTCCGCCTCTGGGTGCGACTATGATGCGGTGCAGAATTCGCACAGAAACCCGCTGCAAATTCAACACCGCATCAGTGTGAACCCAGGCTTAAAGAAGTGTTATTTAACAGATGCGTTAAATATTTGTTTTGCAATATTTTTCACTTAAATTTATTTTTTTATGGGTTTTTTTGCAGTTTTTTTACATGCCAACACTGCACCAGATGAAGATAGTTCTGTAAGTTCTGTGTTCCCACCAACAATCACACAAGAATGCATTGTGTGCTCCTGTGCTTTTCATTCATTTAAATAGGCTGAAATCGCACTGGACCACAGCAAAAGTAGTGCATGCACTTTACAAAATGCAGAGCAACTGGATCTTATGGTACTTCTCTACCATGTGATCCGATGCAAGTAAAAGCACTGTGTTTGAGACCTGCATATGCTTCGCCATTAGCATTACACTGACACCTGCTGCAGATTGCAAGTGCAGTGCGTTTTGAGCATGGTGTGGGAAGCATGCACGGAACAAGGGTTTCCCGCACTGCGTTCCGGTGTGAACGGGTCGTAAATGAAGGCACACAGAAATATTGTAGAACTGTGAAAACATTTTAGTCTGCCTTCATTCACAGAACAATCTCCCTCTGATGAAATGTTACAATTTATTTTCATTCTTGAGCTCAGGATAGAACATTTTTCACATTGATACCTTGTATACTTGTAACTTACTGGCCAGTGCAGAGTTTCCCTAATTGTTATACTGTGCAGTACTAAAATATTGAATGCCTACACCAGGTTATAAATAACAAAATGTGAGTTTTTAGTGAATTGGCTTTACACCCTGGTCACACCGATCCGACTTTGAAATTGTGTGACTTCCAGTTAAGTCGCACAATTTCATAGTCGGATGGTATTCCAACTTAAGATGTGTCTTGCAAGACATCTGTGGCTTGCAAGACTCATTTGTCTATGCAAGTTGCACCTAAAGTAGTGCATGCACTACTTTAGAAATCGGTGCAGCTCCGACCCAGTCGGAATCACACCGATATGACTGCTGTAATTGCGGACAATAAGGTGTGACTTGCAAGTTGCATGGGAAATCGCATGCCAAGTTGCATCCGATGTGACTGGGGTCTTAAAGTAACTGTAATTCTCAGACATGAAATATTAACAAGGCATATAGTGTGTACTAGAAAAATGGTGAGGGGGTGGGAACAGCCTGTGATTGACAGTCTCAGCTCTGCTTCTGTGTGTTGCATGAAGGGGGTGTGCCCCTCCCCTCCAATCAGCTCTCAGAGCTCTCCTCACCGAATGTAACTTCAGCTCTGCACCCCCTGATTTTCAGAGCTGAGAGATCCTGTGTAAATTCTGCACTTTGAATGGATGTAGGGGAAAGATAGCTGTAGCTAAACAGGTTCAACTTATGCAGGATGATTTGTTTCATTTTTGTGTATCGCCTGAGGCCAGTCACTTCACTGGTTATATGTAAGGTTTTACTACCACTTTATCAATTTATCTCACAATAATCCTTTTGCTTTGATGAATTGACTCTATCCCCTCCCTCCTAGATTGTAGATTCCATCTCCGCCACCTCCCTCTGCCAATCCCTCCACTGGCTTCTGATTGCGCAACGGATCAAATTCAAAATCCTATCACTGACGTACAAAGCTGTCCACCATACTGCCCCGATCTACATCACTGACCTAATATCCAAGTACCGCCCATCACGCACACTCCGCTCCTCTCAAGACCTCCTTCTCTCTAGTTCCCTGGTCTCCTCCTCCCATGCCCGCCTCCAGGACTTCTCCAGGCTGTCACCCATCCTCAAAAAGAACTGTTTGGGGCCATGATCAACGTATGTTTGGGAGGAGGAAGACAAGGCCTGGAACTCCCTGCCCCAATCCATCAGCCTATCACCTACTCTCCTCTCCTTTAGGCGCACCCTGAAAACCCACCTCTTCAGGGAAGCCTGCCCCACCCCCTGCTAACCTGCCGACCTCCTCCACTCTTCCTACCACTCCATCCCCCACAGCTATCTCCTCCTGTGCCACCATCCCTTCCCTCCTAGATTGTAAGCTCCAAGGATCAGGGCCCTCGATCCCCTCATGTTTTGCATTGTATTGGTATTGTTCTGTCACATGTTCTGTCCCCCTTTGTAATGTACAGCACTGAGCAAACCATTGGCGCTTTATAAATACTGTATAATAATAATAATAATTATGTGATATTTCCAAAAAAAATTAGTCACGTGAGCTTCATATCGAATGCGGAATCCTTTATTGAATTGACCCCTTTGTCCCATCTTTCTCTGTGTTGTCTAAAGGTGCATTCACACCTGCAACTGCACACTGCGATTAACTTCAGGAGGCAGCCCTATTGAAAGCAATAGGAGGCTGCTGGCTCCAGCAGGTAATCATTGCCCTTCACATGTGATCACTCATGCAATGATCACATGCGAGTGATCAGCTCTGGACACAGACTGCCTTCGTCCGGTGCCAATTATTCGTGTGTGAACGGTAAATGTGAGCGGCTGCGATTAGCTACAAGAACAAGCAGCCTCTCATTGCTCTCAATGGCTGTCTCCCCTAGCTAATCAGAGAACCCCTGCTTAGGGTTCTTATATCTAATTAGGGTGCAGATGTGAGGTTGGAGAGGGCTCCCCTCCTCCCTCCACAGCAGTCCGACAATGCAGCTAGCAAGAAGGTGACTGCTTTAACAGATGACACTTTTCTCCATCTCTGAGCACTTGCCTACTGGCTGGCACATTTCGGCTAAGAAGCCCCATCCCCATGCATTGCTCATAAAATGCCTGTCGCAGGCAAGTACTTGAAGATGGGAAAAGTGCCGTATGTCAAAGCTGCAGTCTCCTAGCTGCGCTGTCGAACAGTCATGAAGAGAGGAGGGGTGCCCTGTGTGACCTCACAGCTAGACTTATGCAGGCCATAGACGGGTCAAAAACCGGACGTTTTAAAAAAAAAAAAAAAAAAAAAAAAAGAAAAATCGGTTGTTCAATAGGCCGACATTACCACCAACGGTAAATAAAATCGGCCGATTTTTGTCCTGTCTACGGCCGGCATTTAATTACTTCTGTCCCTGCAGAGAGCTCCGCTATTATATTTGACATGAAAAAGTATTGCGGTTGCAACATTGTATCCATTTGTATCCATTTCGGATACAGATGTTTTTATTCAGATACAAATAGATACATTGTTGCAACCACAATACTTTTCCATGTAAAGTATAATAGCGGACTGGAATTCTTCTGTTTTTTTCCTTTTTTTCTACTTCTTTTTTCTTCTTCTTCTTTCTTTTTCTTCTTTTTCTTCTTCTTGCAGGCCACGGCTCATGTGCACATTTTTTATCTGTAAAAAGATTGGCCGATTTGCCCATCATTGCCAGGAAAATCGGCTGATCGACAAAATCGGACGATTTTTTTTCCAACTTCGCTGATAAACAAAATGTGCCAAAACCCCGAAAAATGGCCGACCAATTAACTCATTAGCAGTGCTAAAATCGGCCGATTTTTTTTTTTGGACGAAAAATCAGACGATTTTCAACCCGTCTATGGCCTGCATTAGACAGCACATAAGAAAATAGGGAAAAGTACTACATGGGCTCTGTCCCTTGGGGGACAGAATATATTACTAAAAATTGAAGTTAGACCTCTTCTTTAAAAAATAGTTCTGCGTGATTTTGCAGTTCCGGGTAGGGGGTGCGCATGTGCTGCACGCGCGCACTACCCGCGCCACTATTCACGGCCTTGGCTGTCAATCACTGGGTCCCACCCGATGATTACTCACTGGCACCCGGTGATCATCGAGTATCTCTGACGGGGGAGAGACCTGTGTATAAGCAACACATATCTCTTCCCTATCAGCTCCTGCACACTCTGCATAGCAGAGCCGTGCAAAGCAGTGTGCTTACAATGAAGCAGACACACAGTCCCCCATAGTAAAGCAGCACACAGCACATAGTTAACCCTTTGATCACCCCAGATGTTAACCCCTTCCTGTCCAGTGTCATTAGCACAGTGTCAGTGTTTTTTATTAGAACTAATCACTGTATTGATGTCACTGAGCATGTCAGCGACACCAAGTCAGTTCCCCCCCAGTGTCAGAATGCCCACTGCAGTCCTGCTATAAGTCATTGACCACCGCCATTACTAGTAAAAAAAAAAAATTCCAGTATATATATATATATACATATATATATATACCACCTTTTGTAAACGCTATAAATTTCACATAAACCAATTAATTTACACGTATTGGGATTTTTTTTTTCTTAGCAAAGACATTTTGGCCTAAATGTATGACGAAATTTGATTTTTAAACATTTTTTACTGGACATGTTTAATAGCAAAAAATCAATCATTGTTTCTTTCTCGAAGTTGTTGGGTTTTTTTGTTTATAGCGCAAAAAAAAATAAAACCGCACAGGTGATCAAATACCACCAATAGAAAGCTCTATGTGTGGGGGAAAAGGACGTAAATTTTATTTGGGTGCAGTGTTGCATGACCATGCAATTGTCAGTTAAAGTAACGCAGCACCGTATGACAAAAATGGCCTGGTCAGGAGGGGGGTAAATCCTGTGGAGGGCGAGTGGTTAAAATAGCCCAAAGGAATCTGAGAGGACACCTTGGGACAGCACTGTGTAGGTTTATTGTATATATAAAAACTTTGAACATAAATGTCTAATTGTACTAGTAACTAGTAACTGAAGACTATATGTGATCAGGACCACTTAATTCTTTCTGTTTCCTTGGGAACAACAACAGAAAAGGAAGGTTCCTTGATAATATGCCCACCTCCTACAGTATAGTTCATAGAGTGAAAAAAAGGATTTTGTAGCAAAAGGACTTTTGAAGGCGTATCTCAGAAAAATTTTAACACAAAAAATCATATAATAAAAAGTCACATTTTATTATACAAAAATTAAAAAGGAAACAAGCGTGACCATATCCATATGTTACAAGAAAAACTAGTTCACATATTCCATATACATAGTTCTTGTTATTACATGAACAGTCCACAATGAAGC